GTACATGGACACTCAAAGAAAGCCTTGGAGGAAGCACATCAAAACGTCAACAGTGATTATCTCTGAGTGGTTTTTCCATGCTACTTATATTTTTCTGTATTTTCCAACTTGTCCATAATGAACATGTTATTTTTTTCTAGCATCAGGAAAAATGTTTTTGTTTTGCTTTGGTTTTCAAGGCCAGATAAATTATTTCTGAGACCAAAAAATTTCAAACTAACCTTAAGAAGGGTGATGTTTGAATGCTGGTTACACAGGATGCTCATATCAGTCCCAGCCACAACACACGTCTTTCCTATGTATCAACCTGCATACTTCTGAGTCTCGAAGAACCTTCACCACCTCCCCCACTTAACTTGACTTTTCCTTCTCATCTCTCTTTCTCCATGACTCGTCCCTCTTCCCTCATCTCTCAGGTAGAGAAACTGGCCTCTCCCTGAAGCTTGTCTTTGGAACAGTGAAAGTTTTGATTGTGTTGGGATCCAGGCTGCTAAGTTCCCCAGCTCTGAGGTCCCACACAATCTGGCCCTGACTCCCACCATCAACACCTACAGTCTCATCTTTCTGACTCATCATGCATCACTCCTGCCCCAGGGCCTTTGCACAGGCTGTTCTGTCTGCCTGGGCCAATCTTCCCCAGGTAACTGGAAGGGCTCATTCTCCCACCTGTCTCTATATATTGACATATTACATTGTATCTACACATTTTCCTTCAGGACAGTCAAGAGTGTGATCAAATAGTTGTTGTAAGAAGAGGCATTGGATCTGACAGGGCTAAGGACCACTGCTCTAATGTGATTGCTGGTTGGCATTTCCATCTCTCACACTAAACTAAAAATTCTGGGAGAGCAGGGACTCAGTCAAAGCATATTTCCTGAACTGAAATGAAAGAATACATGAGCACGCTGGTGACACCTAAGGGGTGGCGAGGCCTCCAGGGGCAATTATGGTGTGAAGTTCTAACTCCCTTTGCTCGAGAGAGGTGAGGCGCACTCCATCACTGCCTCCTCCATGACCACCACCACCATCCTGGCTGGGACGGCCAGTCGGGTGGAGGGACCTGACTAGGAGGTGGTATGGACATACTATCCTGACTCCAGAGCAAGCAGGTCTGGGTGGCTGACAGGTCTCTAGGGGGAACCAAGGGGCTGGGAAGTGAAGGGCAAAGAGCTATCCAACCCTCTGTATTGACAACAATCCCTACTTTTTTTTTTTTTTTTGACAGGGTCTCACTCTGTTCCCCAGGCTTCAGTGCAATGGAGCAATCATGGTTCACTGCAGCTGTGACCTCCCAAGCTCAAGTGACCCTCCTGCCCCAGCCTCCTGAGTAGCTGGGACCACAGGCATGAACCACCATGCCCTGCTAATTAAAAAAAAAATTTTTGTAGAGATGGTCAGGGGGTTCTCACTACGATGTCCAGGCTGGTCTCGAACTCTTGAGCTCAAGCTGTTCTCCTGCCTTGCTCGGCCTCTCAAAGTGCTGGGATTATAGGCGTGAACTCCAGCCTCCACTGCTCAAAGCCAGCCTGCCTGTTGAGGGCAATAGCCCCACAAGGAACAGAAGGTCGGTGACTGTTCCCTGTACCATGAGGGCTCGAGGCTCCCAGGGTGAGGGAAAGACTGAGGATTAGGAGTCAAGGCCTGAGCTAGAATCCCAGCAATCTTAGGCAGGCCGCTAACTTCTCTGCATCCATAAAACAGGGCCACTCACACCTACCCAGCCCCCCAGCCCTGCGGTCAGAATCAAATAAGACTAAATAAGAGAGTCTCGGTAAACAAATGTTGGCCAGTATTACAGGCAGTAACAAGCGCTTTACTGCTGAGCAGAACTGAATCTTGGGTGATTCAGAAGGCCCTTCGGGAGACCGGCCTCATCACTGTCAACATCAAGTATCATTCGATAGTATTTGGATCAAATTCTGATTGTGGGAACTTCTTTGGCATTTAAATTCCAGATGAACAAGGCTTTTCTGTAACCCGTCAAACTATGCTGGTGACACGCTGGAGTCCACTGTCATCCTTTGCTGGTTGCCACCCGCCCACACCGTCCCCATGGATGAAGAGAGGGTTTGTCTACTTCGGCAAAATGTATTCATTTGAGCAGGAAGCCCTGCTCTGGTGAAAAATCATCTCTCAGACCCCACCCTCTTCCTTTGATCCTCCCACTGAATGCTGAGCTGGAAAGACGAAGCAAAGCTGTTCAGATGTAATTATTTTAATTCAGCCAGATGCTGGGAATTAGTCTCTTTTCCTTGCAAGGATTCTAGGGAGAGACAGAACTCAGCTAAAGATGCCCCAGAAGAAAAGGAGCTGACAATCTCAGGAGGAAGGGAGGGCACTCCCTGCCTCTGACATAGACCCCTTGTGCTGGAAGCGCTTAAATCAAGAAAACGGCTGCCATCTCCGGGTGAAGGCGTAGGGAGGACTGGGGAAGAAGGAGGAAGAGGGAGGATTTAATACCTGATAAGTATTAAACCTAAGACTGCTTACCAACCCCTGGAATGCTAGACCAGTAACGGCCACCAGCATTGTCTAGAGCGTTAGAATTTCCAAAGCGCTTTCATGTGTGTGACTTTATTTGGTTACAAACTAGTAAGAAAGTCACCAGCTGGGCTAGAAGCTTGGGGAAACACTGAATTTAGGTTCAAGGAATTTGGAGGCACCCTTTCCTAGGCATCTGTTAGACACACTCACATTCATGAACTCCTTTAACCCTATCAGCGCCAAACTGCAGGTGGAGAACGGAGGCTCTGGGAGCTGCAACAACTCTCTTCCACAGGGCAACTGAATTCTCTCCCTTGTCTGAACTCCAGTGGCATCCAGATCCTCAGCGGACATGTGTGTTTTGTCCATGACCTGGTGCTGAACACAAGGTCTGTGCTTTCTAAGCATTCAGCCACATATTCGTGATGGGTCCTCAGGAACGCCTACTGCACCCCGAGTCCTGCCCCGGGTGTACACATTGGGTAGGGTTCATTCCCGCTGCCAAGTGCCTTCAGATCCACTGAGATAAACAGATAAGCAGAGCAACCAGGGTGAGCAGTTGCATATGAATTTCTTTGGTCATCTCTATACTGCCCTGTACTATCGATTCTGTGTTCACGTGTCTTATTCTTCCACTGGAAGTCCTTGGAAACAGAGTTTGTAACACCACAGCCCAGTGGTTAAAGACCTTGGCTCTACAAGCAAACTGCCAAGTTTCAAATCTCTTCTACTCAGTGGCTGTGTGACCCTGGACAGGTCACTTAACCTCTCTGTGCTTCGGTTTCCTTATCTATAAAAGTGAGGAAAATTAATGAGGACCGTAATTCATCAGATATTATAACACATCATACTACATACTACATTATGTATTATAATACATTAGATAAGTCAATACATGTAAACCAGTTAGCACAGTGTATGGCCCAAAATAATGACTCAATTCATGTTCTCTAACACTGTTATATCTCTATACCAGCAGCTCTCAAAGTATGGACCAGGAACCCTGGGGGATCTGTGGGGTCAACACTATTTTCATAATAATTTCGATGAAGAGTTTTCCAGAGGTTGTTCGACAGGGATATCACAATAGATTGACTACAGAAGCAGCCATGAGAATCTGGATGTCTTCCATTAAGTCAGACATTAAGGAGATTTGCAAAAATGTAAAACACGGCCACTCTTCTTATTAAATGATTATTGTAAGTTATTGTTGTTTTTCAAAATACGTTATTTTATTTATTTATTTTTTGAGACGGAGTCTCGCTCTGTCACCCAGGCTGGAGTGCAGAGGCTGCAGTGAGCTGAGATTGCAATCTCGTGAGCCACTGCGCCCGGCCTCAAAATATATGTTATTTATGTTGACCCATAATGGGTTCAACTATTGTTATTTCTAAAGGAATTAATACATACATTTTTAAAAATTCTGTTTAAATTTCTAGTAGGGTAAATATTGATCGACAGCTGATCCGTAGCACTGACCTCCCAGGAAGGTAGGAAAATCTTGTTTCTCCTGGTCATCCCTCCCAGCCCCGTGGGAAGCTGTGTTCCCAGGGTAGCCCAGGCTTTGTTTACGCTTGCACCCTGCCCCTCTCTGCGTCTGTCCCAGCCTCCTCCTCTTCTCTCCAAGTTCCACCACTTTCCCACTTTTATAGCCACTCTTAGTAACCTAAGATAGCGGCAGTTTCGGGGCTGAGCCCAGATCTTAGAATCAAGCTGACCTGGACTAGAATCGTGGCTCTGCTGCTTGTCTTCCTTGAACAGGTGACTTTGCCTCTCTGAGCCTCAATTTCTCCATCCATAGAATGGGAGTAACATTTTAGTGCCTACTTCTTAGCATGATTGTCAAGAGCAGTGATAACTTATGTAAAGTGCTATTACCTGACAAATACTGACCATCACCATTATGATACTTTATCATTATTATTAATCATGAGGTCCCCTGAGCCCCTTCTTGGTGTGCTCAGCTGTCCCCATCTCCTGATCCCCAACAGTCCTACAGAAAAAGCAAGACCAAGGGCTGCCTGGTACTGCAGACTTCTTCCCAACATATGCACGCGCACAGACACTCTCCATCCGCCCCATGCAGGGTGTCACCCTACTCCAGAGATGAAAGTGAAAAATGACAGCTAAATGTCAAGCACCCAGGCTTCCTTCAAGACTGAAAAGGTCTTTGCTGTCACAGTGTTGGTGCCAAGGCAGTCTCGGCTCAAGGACACGTGAGTGGCGGCCGTGATGGGGAGGGGAGGGAGCCCTGGCATGGGAGCCAGGGGACGGAGCTCAGCTGGGCTCTGCTGCTGACTGTGGGTGAGTTCCTTCTCCTCTCTGGGCCTCAGTCTGCTCAGCTATAAAAAGGGAAAACACCCACTAGCTCCGATGTTGCAGAATTCTATGACAGCCAGGTCAGCATCAGGAGCCCTGTCTACCCTTGGTTCCCTCCAGGGGCTCAGGGAGGCCAACCTGCACTCCGTCACCACCCACCCCAACCACGTCCTGTGCTGGAATCCTCTGCCACTCACCCTACAGTTGCTGAGCTCCTCAGCGGACAGGATGATGGTGCCACATTTCTTTCCTGGGACACCACTGGGAGAGGAGAAGATGAAAGAATGGAAAGCCAGACAAAGACAGAGCCATAAACCTGATACTCCCTCAATCAATCCCTGCCCAGCCTCCCCCTCCCGCTACCATCCAGCAGATCTGCCCCAAAGCCCCTGAGAAGACAGAGTCTCCTGAAATCCTTGTGGCAGTGTGGCCTAGTGCACTGCTTCCTGGGGCCGGGTCCCCAAGCCTGGAGCTGCCCCACCCCCTGCTCCCCGAGAGCCCACCAGGAAGGGTAGTGCCTGCAGTGAAAGTCCTAGAATTGGAAAAGCATCCAGACTCACCCGGAGGCTTCCAGACCAGTGGTTCTCAAACTTTCCATCCAAAGACCACTTCTGTGGGCAAAAGACCTCATGGGCTAGCCACCCCACCTCACACCCAGCTGACCCCCAGAGTCTCAGGACAATCCAGCTCTGAGCCACTCTGATGTGTCGTGGGAGGCAGGAAGGCAGGAGGGCTGGTGGACCCTCGCTGGTAGCTTGCCCAGGCTCTTTCCCATGGCTACGTCCCCTTGAGTGCCTTGGCTGGGGTCTCCCTGGGAGTGAGAGATCCCAGCCGACTGTACAGCTCCCCAGTGAAATGGGCAACCAGGTCAAGGTCCATGAAGTCGGTCCACCCCAGCACATCCCTCCAGGAGGGCAGTTCTTCAGCTGGGGCTCCACCCAGGGGACCTGAACCACCTCTTCCCCTGGTTAGATGGGCTTTGGGCACCAGCCCAGCCCAGTCCGATGTTTGGGACTAAGCCAGAGGTGGGGGAGGGGCCACTGGGAGGGAGAGGAAAATATGTCGGGTTGTCCAGCAGCTCTGTGACTTTGGGCTCATTCCTGTACCTCTCTGAGCCTCAGTTTTCTCCCCTATATAATGAATGTGACTGTATATACCCACACAGTGCCTGGCACAGAGAAGGTCCGCAGTGAGCAGCATCCCCCTCCCCGCACCCTTTGCTTCACAATTGTGCAATGCCGGTAAAATCCAGCCTTACACCTCAGGCCAGCCACAGGGCCACCAGCATGCTGTCTGTGGAACACACTTTGAGAACCACTGATGGAGCTCTTCCCAGCACCAGCTCTTGGAGGGAGAGGCTCTCAAACAGAGGAGGCAGGGGAGGAAGGGAAGCCGGCCCTGGGGCGCTGACAGGACAGCCCAGATCTCTCCAAATCAGGTGAGCAGAGCAGGGGCCACATCTGGGGCATCCCCTGCCACGGACAGGGGACAGTGCCTGCCAGCTTGTCCCTCTAGACTTGAGCAGCTGAGCTGAGTGCCTCAAAGCCCTTCCCCACCCCCTGGTCCGGTCCTTCATGGTAGTAAAGACATGATTTGTTTGCCCAGGGAGATAGAATCCTCCACGCCAGCCTCCTCCGCCCCATGTTTCTCCATCTGTTCCTCTCTTTGCCTCTGAGTCCTTCTTCTATTTCCGATCCTTCTTTCCCTCCTCTCCAGCCCCAACCTGCTCCCACCTTCTTGGCCTTCCTTTCTCTCTCTCCCTCCCTGCCGCTGTATCTCTGTCTGCCTCCCGCTGCCTCCCCAGTGGCTGCTTCTCTACTCTGCCGGTGAATTAGCATTCACGCTCTCCCTGGGCGGTGAGCATCCCCGGCCCCCTGGAGGCCCCCTCCCCACCTGCAGCTGGCCCAGTGGCATATCCAGCTGCTGCAACCTCAATTCCTGAGAGCTTTCAGGGAAGGCCAGGGGAGCTCTGCTTACCCCAATAAAATGCCCTTCTGCAGAGGCCCCTGCAGGCAGAGGTTCCCTGCCCTGCACTCCCCCACCCCCAGCCCCAGTGGGCGAGTGGGCGTGAGAAAGAAGCCAGGGTGGGAACTCCCCAACCGGGAAAGAAGGGGAGGGAAGGAGGGGGAGGCTCTGCGTTGGCCACATTTGCATGAGGCCAGCCGAAACCAGATGGTCAGGGTGGTGGAGTGAGGCTGGCCCACCGCAGCTGGCTAGCAAACGAGCAAACGTGAAAAGTGGGGATTCAGCTGGATCTACTCTGTGGTGAGGAGGAGGCGGACATCCAGCAGCCAAAACAAGGAAGGGGAACAGGGGGGAAAGGATAAAGAGAGGGGAGGAAAGAGGGGGAGAGAAGGGTGGGGACTGGGGGCCGAGAGAAACCAGGCCAGGGAGAGAGGAAGGGAACAGAGAGTGCCCAGCCCCACTATTCCTAGACAACATCCCTCACCTGTAAGCCCCACCCTCTCCCTGAAGTCCCAGGAGCCACCGGGGCTTGAGATGCCCAAGCTCTAGTTTGGATGGGGGAGGGGCTCGCTGCCAAGTCGGGGCTTCTGTTCAGGGCCCAAAGAGCCTGGGTGCCTAAGGAGGAACCTAGGACTCTCTGTCCCCTGGATCAGGGCCAGATTCACAGGGATGGGAGCAGGGACGAGGCCCAGACTCTGAGGCCCCCTTTGCAGAGCTGGTTGAATGTCTAAGGACTCCAGGGCCAGAGATGTCTGGTGACCTACCCGTTGGACACGGCTGGCATGGGTTTGCCCGTCCTGGAATTCAGGCTGAATGCACCTATCCTGTGGAGAGAGGGGAAGAGAGAGCATGCCATGAGCTGAGTACCCCCATCCAGACAGGCCAGCACACTTGGCATCCAGATGCTTGGAGACAAGCGGCTGCTCCGGAAGTCATTAAAACAGGATCAAAGTCACAGGCCAGAGCAAGCAGAGCCCTTCTTCTGGGCAAATTCCCTCAGTGGTTCTCAAGGTGGGATGCCCAGACTAGCAGCACCAGCGTGTCCTGGGAATGTTATTAATAGGAATGTAAATTCCCAGGCCCAGCCCATACCCACGGGATCAGGAACTCTGCGGGGTGGAACCCAGCAATCTGTGGTGACACTGGTGCCTGCTGCAGTTTGGGAACCCCTGTTCTCCCTTTCCAGCCTCCGCATCCAGACTGCGAGATGGGGAGACTGCTGGAAGAATCACATGAGATCATGACATGGGCTGAACTGTATCCCCCAAAATTCATGTATTAAAATCTTAATCTCCAGGACCTCAGAATGGGACTATATTTGGAGATAGAGTCTTTATTTTTATTTTTATTTTTTTATGTTTTATTTGAAACAGTATCGCTCTGTCACCTGGGCTGGAGTGCAGTGGCACGATCTTGGCTCACTGCAACCTCCACCTACAGGGTTCAAGTGATTCTCCTGCCTCAGCCTCCTGGGTAGCTGGGACCACAGCCACGCACCACCACAAGCGGCTAATTTTTGTATTTTTAGTAGAGACAAGGTTTCACCATGTTGGCCAGGCTGGTCTTGAACTCTTGACCTCAGGTGGTCCACCCACCTTGGCCTCCCAAAGTGCTGGGATTACAGGCATGAACCATCGTGCCCAGCCTGGAGATAGGGTCTTTAAGGAGGTAATTAAGGTAAAATGAGATCATGGCAGTGGGTCCTAATCCAATGGCTGGTGTCCTCATAAGAAGAGGTGACTAGGACACAGAGGTGCACAGAGAGATGACAACGTGAAGACACAGAGATGAGAAGGAAGACAGCCATCCTCACAAGAAATGAACTCTGTTGACATCTTAATCTCTGATGTCTAGCCTCTAGAATTGTGAGAAAATTCATTTTCGTTTTTTAAGCCACTCAGTTTGTGGCATTTGCCACAACGGCCCCAGTGAACTAACACAGATTTCACAAGCAAAATACTGACCCTCATGCCTGGCCCAAAATATATGTCCAGTAAACAGGAGATTTTCACAGGGTTTAGTCAGGAAGACAACTAAACTAAGACACATAAAATCTTTGATGAGGTAAAAGGTCCACCTCCTCCTCCAACATTGCCATCAACCTCTGTATTTTATTTTATTTTATTTTATTTTATCTTATTGTATCGTATCTTATTTTATTTTATTTTATTTTATTTTATTTTATTTTATTTTATTTTATTTTATTTTTGAGAGGGAGTCTCGTTTTGTCACCCAGGCTAGAGTGCAGTGGTATGATCTCAGCTCACTGCAACCTCCGCCTCCTGGGTTCAAGTGATTCTCCTGCCTCAGCCTCCCTAGTAGCTGGGACTACAGGCACGTGCCACCACACCGGGCTAATTTTTGTATATTTTAATAGAGATGAGGTTTCTCCATGTTGGTCAGCCTGGTCTCGAACTCCCAACCTCAGGTGATCTGCACCCCCCTCAGCCTCCCACAGTGCTGGGATTACAAGCGTGAGCTACTGTGCCCGGCCAACCTCTGTATTTTAGATCTTGCGTGTCCTTTAAGGCTCAGTTTCAAAAGCCATCTCCATAGGAAGTCTCCCTCAATACTCCCCCACCCCCAGAAACAGTTCCTGTCACCAACGGTGGACCAGGTGACAGCAGGCAGGAAACAGACCCAAATGAGTAGTGGTTTTGGACCCAGGCAGCTGGGAGTTGGGAAGCACAGACATCCTCCCTAGTAGGGCATCTCCAACCTGGAAACCCAGGTAAAGCCATGGGTGGGGGTGCTGCTGGAAAGAGCAGATGCTAATGGGTGTGCTACACTTAGCACATGGTTAACACTGAAGTGGGCACAGGGGCAGATGTCCCTAGAGAAAGAATATAAAATCATGAATAAAACCTGTTAGAAATATGTCCTAAGAGGGAGGGGCCTACCAAATATGAATGTGAATTTTGTATCCTTTTTTTCAAGAGGCCCTCAAATTCTATAAGCTACAGAGGCCCCCAAAACAGGGGTTTTCCCCCTGTTCTCAATAAATGATAACTGTTTTCATTGTTTTCTAGGAACCCAGAGATGAGACCTTTTGGGAGCCAAGGAAATATTTCCAGGAGCCCTGGGACCATGAATTACTGGGGGTCCCGGGCAAGGATCTGGAAGAGAGACCACACACACACACACACACACACTGCAGTTATTATTATTATTATTTTGAGACAGAGTCTTGCTCTGTTGCTCAGGCTGGAGTAGAGTAGTACAATCTTGGCTCACTGCAACCTCCTGGCTTCAAGAGATTCTCATGCCTCAGCCTCCCAAGTAGCTGGGACTACAGGTGTGCACCACCACGCCCAGCTAATTTTTTTGTATTTTTAGTAGAGACAGATTTGCACCATGTTGGCCAGGCTGGTCTCAAACTCCTAAGCTCAGGCTATCCACCTGCCTTGGCCTCCCAAAGCCCTGGGATTACAGGTGTGAGCCACCGTGCCCAGTTCACACTGCAATGATTGATCATGGTGAGGGGACAGCGTCCAGTGGGAAGTTGGCAGAAGCAAGCGGGGGGCTAATGATCTCCCTTTCCTGGGCTCTTTGCCCTGTGGCCTGGATGCCTGTCCCAGTCTGCCCTCTCTTTCCTGGGCCCTGCCCATGAGTGTCAACCTAAAATATTCAAAAGGCTCGGGATCCAGTTAAATTAGTTTATTTAAATGCAAAGTGTGAGGGTGGCCGTCCAGAGAAACGTGGACACCAAAAAATGGTGACCAGTGTTCCCCAGTGTGGGGAAAGGTAAGAATTGTTTATACAGGCACAGGCCCTGCCCCTGGGACTTCCTGAGAAATAGGGACAAGAGAGGTCACCCTTACCACCTGGCCAGCCCTGGCTGCCCCTGAAGACATCCTCAGGCTGCACTATGAGAAGCCTTGGGATTCCTCATCCCAGAGCCTGCTTCAGAGTAACAGCTTTTCCCTAAAAGCAAATTAAGTTCAGGGACTGTCAGGGACAGGATGGGATGGGAGGGGCCTCACTGTAGCCAGCTCTGGCCTACAAGCTGTGAACAATCTTAGGAATATGCTATGTGTGTAGAGCCCTGGGTTCAAATCCCAGCTCTCCCTCTTTCTAGCTGTGTGTCCTTGGGCAAGTCACTTCCCCTGTCTGGGCTTCAGTTTCTTCTTCCACACTATGATAGGGGTCAGGGTGGGAATAGATTATATGGTGTCTACTCTATTCCCTCCTGAGCCTTCCCGGGAGATGGGGCTCTAATAACCCAGTCTGGGTTCCCCTGAAATACCTGGATTAGAAGCCCCGTGAGAGCAGTGATGCATGGGGTCTGTTTATTCCTAACAACCCTGCAGATGCCAGTCATAGCCAGCTGACTGCTTTGCCCCCGCCCTGAGCCAGCTCCTAGCTGAATGGGCAGGAAGTTGGCCCACCACCGGCAAAGCAACCCAGACACTCACGTGAGGGGCTTCTCCAGGCGGCTCCCAGGGGACCCCACAATCTCTCCAAGGGTGCAGAAGGCCTGGCCCAGGAAATCCTGCATGTCCAGGGAACAGAAGAGACCAGTGTCACCCACTCTGCTCACAGCTATCCCACCTCCCCCATTGCACAATTCCTGGAAGCGTGAGAGCCCTCAAATGACAGGGCGCAGCCTCAGACACACATTCCATCCCAGCAAAGCCCCAGGCCCACCCAAAGGATGGCATTTCAGAAACCGTGGAATTGCCGAGCGGTCACTGGCAGAACTCACGTGTTTGGATAAATCGGGACTCTTAGAGTCAACGTCATATCTGCAGGGAACACAGAGAAATGATGAAGGCAGCTGTGGATGTTCCGCCCAATCCTGCCTGGGTTCTCAAGTTGAGTCAGGGCCCCTGTCCCCCAAAAACAGGTCCCAACGCAGTGAATATTTCCAGGAGTAATTGTTGGAAGGCATGAAAGGGAGCCTTCTGGGTGCTGGACATGTTCTGTCCTTGAGCTGGGTGATGGTCAGAGGGGTGGAAATGGATGTAAAAATGCATCGTGGAGTAGGCGCTAAGATTTACGCACTTCACTATGTGTATGTTACACCTCATTAAAAATGGAAAAAATTAAATGAGCTCTGTCGGCCCGGCTGGTTCACAGGTGGCTGAGCCACCTTACCTTTCATTCCCCTCACTTACAGAGTTTCCCATCTTTGATCTTCGCAGCCAAGCCTTGGCTGCCCGTGGTGCTAATACCTTGCTTCTGACCTTCCCTTATGGCTTCACCCTACCCAGGCCTGCCCAGCTTGCCCACGGGCCTGGTCACTCAAGAAGGAGGGAGGCATTAACACCTTCACCTCAGCCGTCTACAGGCAGCGTGATGCTGCAGCTGGCCTCCTCCCCTCACCTGGGGTCTGCTCACCTGGAGCCTCACCTGCCACCTTTCCCCAGCGTCTCCCACCCACCCACTGGCATCTCTGTGGCCAAACAGCCATGCCAGGCCCAGATGACTCCTGCTGAGGGATGGTCATTCTCTTATCAGCCCTCTCCAAAATGTCACCAGGTGACTTCTCAACAATGGGCTGTGTTGACTCTCCTCAGCCTCAATACCTCCCATCATTCCCTCCAAAGTTATTTCCTTCCACTGCATTCTTTCCTTTGCTCCCTAAGGTCCCAAACCCCCTTCTTTCCCACTCTGACCACTCTTCTGTGGGGCAAAGACTTTTCAAAGCATCCCATACCCCATAAAAACAACGTCACAAACTCCCCGGCCTGTTTACCAAGCCTGAAATCCCACCGTGATCTTTAATGTCAGGAGAAAGGCACTGTCATCTTCCAGTGGCTGCTGGATGCCTGAGCCCCACCAGCCAGGCCACCTCTGCGGGAGGGGAGGCTGCAGGGACCCTCTCCCAGAACACGCTTAGACAGAGGAAGCAGCCAGTGGCTCCCTCCTGGTTACTAGGGGAGAAAAGGGCTCCCAGAGGCACAGTCAAGAATTGCCTTCAGGATCTTTCCTCGGTGGACATTCCCCGGCACCAAGAAGCTTGCCTGATGCCATCCCCAACTTAACTGAGACAAACTGTTAAATTTGTCTCTCCTGGTAAGGGTGCAGGCAGACTTCAGCTAATTGCCACTTCTATCCCAGGCCAACCTGGGCTCCCGCTAATATCTCAGCTCCTCCCACCTCCCCCAACCACAGGCCTGTGGTCCTACCTCCCAGCAATCTTCCTCCCCACCTGACTGCATCTTCAGCACCATCTTCCACTTACAAATCAAAACGGAGGTTCTGCTTCTCCTCGAAAAAGTAATCCACAATGAACTTGCGCACGAAGTCGGGATTGAGCGTGTTGTCAATGACTTCAGTGCGCCCGAACTGCAAGAGAAGTTGGAGGGTAAACCTCAGGGCCGGGCTGGTAGGGCCGGGGAGAGCACTGGGCTCAGAGCCCCTTAGTCCTGGTTCTGGCAGTTATGAAAGCCCTGTCTCTCCAGGCTCCTGACATCCATCCCCTCCCAATCAAAGCATGAGTTCTTGCATCTGACAGTGGAAGCCACGTACAGTATGGCTCCAACCCACATGGCTTCTCCCCATCGCCATGCAAGCTGATGGTCTTAATACCTGAGCAGGCCCTTCCCTTCACCTGGCCTCCCCGTCTCTGCCAGTGGCATATCCTCATTCCCTCAAGGCCTGATGTAAATACCAGCTCCTCCAGGAAGCCTTCCTGATTCCTCCAACCAGAGAATTTTATTTCTCTGAGCCTCCCCGAACTTGTGCCCACTCCACTCCATGACCACCATTCTGAGAATTGATTCCACAATTAGGTGTGTACTTATTTGATTCCCCAGTTGCAAACACAAGGGCAGAGGCAGGGACCGTAGGAGACCACCTCCTAAAAGATCCCCCCCTTTTGGTATTCATGCTCTTGCATAATCACCTCCTCTCGAATGTGAGCTGGGCCTATTGACACACTTGTACTGAACAGAGTATCACACAAGTCATAGAACGTCACCTCCAAGGTTCTGTTACAAACAACTATGACTTCTGTCTGGGCACCCTCTCTTGCTCTGTCTTGCTTGCCCTCTTAATAAAACCAGCTGCCATGTTGTGAGCTGCCTTATGAAGAGGGCGGCAAGGAAAGGAGGAGGCCCCAGGCTAACACCAGTGAGGAAGAGCGGCTGTCAATCTGCCCATCCATAAGAATTGAAATCCTGCCCACAACCACTGGGTGAGCTTGCAAGCAAATCTTGCCCACTTGAACCTTGAGATGATTGAGGCCTCGGCCAACACCTTCACTGTGACCTTGTGAGAGACCCTGAGCCAGAGGACCCATCAAAGCTGCACTCAGATTCCTGCCTGCTGTTTAAACCACTAAATTCTGAGGTGATTTATTACTCAGCAATAGCTAACTAATTCAGAGACTGAATTGTCTTGGTTGCCCTTGCAGCTGATATTCTAGAATTTTGTACATAATAGGCAGTCAATAATTGAATCCCAATGAGTTTCGCAAATGACTTTAGGCCAAGTCACTCTCCATCTTTGGGCATCAGAATCACCTAGAGAACTTGGTAAAATACAGATTGTGGAGGGCCTCACTCCAGAGGCTCTGACTCAGTAGGTCTAGAGTGGAGCCTGGGAATCTGCATTTTAGAAGTCCTCAGGTGATGCTGGTACTGTGGGTCTGGGGACTCCACTTTGAGAACCACTGGGCTAGGTGGTGGTCCACTGGGATCCAAGTCTCCTGCAGGCTCCGTAGGCCATAGAGGAGGGCAGAGTGGGCACGAGTCCAGACCAACCATCCCATCAAAGCAGCTCTCTTTTGTATCTGCTCAATACAGTAGACATTTTGAGCAAAATTTTTGTTTCAAAAACGGGGTGAGGGACTAAGAGGTGAAGTTCAAAACCACTGCATCTACAATAGACTATCATTCAGCCTTAAAAAAGGAAGGAAATCCTGTCATGTGCTACAATATGGTGCACCTTGAGGAGATTGTGCTAGTGAAATAAGCCAGTCACAGTAGGACAAATAATGTATGTGTCCACTTACAGGAGGTATCTAAAGTGGCCAAATTCATTGACACAGAAAATAGAATGGCAGTGACCAGGGGCAGGGTGGAGGGGTATAGGGGGAGTCGTTTAATGGGTTAAGGGTTTCAGTTTTGCAAGATGAAAATGTTCTGGAGACCTGTTTCACAACAATGCAAATACATTTGTAACTCTACTGAACTGTACACTTAAAAATGGTTATGATGTGTCTGGGCCCAGTGGCTCACGCCTATAATCCCAGCATTTGGGGAGGCTGAGGCGGGCGGATCACGAGGTCAAGAGATCAAGACCATCCTGGCCAACATGGTGTAACCCCGTCTCTACTAAAAATACAAAAACTAGCTGGGTGTGTTGGCGCACGCCTGTAGACCCAGCTGCTTGAGAGGCTGAAGCAGAAGAATTGCTTGAACCCAGGAGGTGGAGGTTGCAGTGAGCTGAGATCATGCCACTGCACTCCAACCTGGCAACAGAGCGAGACTCCATCTCAAAAAAAGAAAAAAAAAAGGTTATGATGGAAAATTTTATGCTATGTGCTTTTATTTCCCACAATTAAAAAACGAAAAACATTAGCTAGGCATAGTAGCATGCACTTGGGGTCCCAGCTACTCAGGAGGCTAAGGTGAGGGGATGGTTGATCCCAGGAGGGTGACGCTGCAGTGAGCTATGATCACACCACTGCACTCCAGCATGGGCAATAGAGAGAGACTCTGTCTCTCAAAACAAAAGCAAATGAACGAAAAACCCATCACATTGTGTGCTACATGAAGGCAGGGGTGCTGTTCGTTACAATATTTACCAGAGTCTCAAAGCAGTAAGACAGGCAGGTGCAAAGCAAAATATTTTAAATGGGCTGTTAATTCTTTTTAATAATCCTGAGTGTCAGAGTGTCAGTCTTCCTTGATGGGGCTCTGCAGTCCAGGAAAACACCAGCACATGGGTCCCTCATACATGTGGTAGATGAGGCCCTAGGTTACCTGGGGCTTACCCTGAGTGTCCCTTCTACCCTGAATTAAGTTAGAAACTTCCAAAGGAGCTAGGCATGGTGGCTAACACCTGTAATCCCAGCACTTTGGGAGGCTGAGGCGGGCGGATCACTTGAGGTCAGGAGTTTGAGACCACCCTGGCCAACATGGTGAAACTCCATCTCTACTAAAAAAAAAACACACACAAAAATGAGCCGGGCGTGATGGCACACACCTATAGTCCCAGATATTTGGGAGGCTGAGGCAGGGGAATCACTTAAACCCAGTGTAAGGTGGAGGTTGCACTGAGCTGAGATGACACCACTGCACTCCAGCCTGGGTGACAGAGAAAGACTCCATCTCACTGGAGAGGGAAGCTCCCACTCCAGGTAACATGGAACACTAGATTTGGCATCTTGTTGTCCCTCACTCCCTTGGCGAGTCAGTCTCATGTTCCAATCAATCTCATCTGCTAAATCTCTTCCTCTGCTGTGGCCTTGGTCCGGCCTCATCACTTTCTTACCTTGTCACCGTGACCACCATGGCAGCCTCCTAAGGGGCCCCACATGTGCCAATTCCTAATGCTTGGAGCCTTAGCTCCCTGGCCATCCTGTTCTCCAACTCCCCACCCCTCCTGTGCGCACCCACTGTCCTCCTGCATCTCTAAGGCTGCACTTACTGCGCGGCCTGATAATGATCTACTGAGTCTCTTTCTACCCCTCTAGGTTGTGAGCTTCTCAAGCAGCAGGAGAATCCAAGTTCTCCTCATCTTTGCAGCCCAGGACCTAACAGCATTTAATACGCAGTCGCAAGTTTAGATCATAACAGCTGCTGTTTATTGAATACATACAATGCACGAGGAGCGGTTTTAAACATTTTGTGCCATATGGATATTGACCAATTTTGCATCTATGTGTAAATTCATTTCAGCATTCCTGATCATCTATATGTGTGTGTTGCTTGAATTATTTGAACTGGTTGCAACATCTTACTGGTTTCCTCATTAATTAACAAGCTTTGATAATAAATATTTGTCATGCTAATTTTATACTTGTATGGTAGTCATGATTTTACCTTTTTAAAAAATATATGCTTTAACAGGTGCTTTTTAAAAATACCCATGCTCAAGCCCCACTACAGACCAATTAAATCCAAATCTCAGTGGGTGGGGCCTGAACAACTGCTTTTTTACAGTTTCCTTTAAAAAAGGGATCATAATGTGATCCATCTGATCATAATGTGCAGATGGAGTTGAGAACCACTAACAAATGAGAATATAGCAGGAGGAGGGAAGGAAACTAACATTTACTGAGCCCCTACTAAATGCTCACCAGGTTAAGTGGATCATTAAGTTATCTCATTCAATTCTCACAAAAATCTTGTGAGGTATTTTACACACGAGGAAACTAAAAATCAGAGAGGTTAAGTAACTTGCCCAAGATCACACAGCAAGGCAGAGCTGGGACCTAAACTTGGGTATATCTAACTCCAAAGCCCATTATATTTCTACTGCATCTAACTGTGAGGAGTCATCAAGCATTATGAAAATCAAATAAAGATGAGGTTTACTTCACAAGCATTTATACCAGTCCCAGTGTGTGTCAAGCAATGGAGAGGACATCAGATTGAATAAGACTGGGTTCCTTTCCCACCCCCTAAATTCAGTAACAATCTTACAATGCATAACCCCGTTCCAAAAGAGTTCCTGCATTCTCCTCTCCTGCTCTTCTTCTTGATGAATACCTCCTGCCTTCAGACAAAAGGAACATGTCTCTTAATGGCTTTCCTGCAAAATATTCCAGGTAAACACCCAGGTTTGAGAAAATCCTCCTTTAAGGAAGGGACTTCCTTCCTTCCTCTCAGTACACTTGCCCTCCTCCTTCAACAACCTCAAAGCATCCCTCTAGCAGGATTTTAGATAAGCCCCAGCCCAGAAGGAGCAGGCATCCTTTACGCAGTTTCCCTCCCCACCCCGCCCCACCCCCAGCATAGGCTCCAAGGAAAACACCCATTAAGGAAGATGACAAGGCTGCTTTTAAAATGGCACTTGCAGCTTCAATAGAGGGGAATACCCTAGAGATTGATTCTGCCTAAGAAGAAAATGGAGTTCCCCCGGAAACAGGACACTTCATGCCCACTCCCAATATCTCCTAGAGCAGGAAAGGGGCACACGAGCTAGGCTGGACAGTGAAAGATTACTAAGCCTCAGAGGTAGTTAAGACATGCAGATCACAAACAACTGCCAAATCCACAATCTGGGGACTTACTGGAGATGTTTTATAGCCTTCATTACTTGGATGAATAACAAAGGGGAAAAAAATGCTAAAACTTGGATTTTAAAATCTGAGAAGCCACCAGGTCCCGTCAGGC